GGTCCATATTTCTTCGAGAATGACGTTGGCCAGGCCATCACTGTCAACAGTGAGCACTATAGGTCAATGATCACCAACTTTATTTGGCCCAAATTGGATGACCTGGACACTCACAACATGGAACTACGTGCCACACAGCTCGTGCCACATTGGACACTCTGCATGAGCGATTTGAGGGCAGGTTATCTCACGTGGAGGTGATGTGAACTGGCCACCGAGATCGTGCGATTTGATCCCATAACACTTTTTCTTGTGTGGTTGTAGGTGTATGCGAATGAGCCTCAAACCAGAGCGGTCGTCAAAGCCATCATAACCCATGCCAACGGTCGAATTTAGCCTTATTTATGCGCCAGAGTCATGGAAAATTGTACGTTTTGGATGCGCTCCACCCAGAGAAGCCGTAGCGGACAGTTGAACGATTTTATATTCCACATATAATGGTATCAATAGGTCTCTCAAACGAATAAAAATTTTGATGATATCTCATACACACTTTCTATCCCTGAAAACTCTAAGGGAATATTTGTATGCAAACCAAGAACTAGGCATATAGTTAGAAATATTTCAAATTAAATTAAATAATCTTGTTTCTTCACCAATTCACAACATGGTTGTACTATTTACTAACAGGTGTTTTACAAGCATCGCCCACGTATGGCATTCAACCTAAGCAATACAAAATATTACCATACATTTTTGGTCAATATAGTTTTGTACTTATTACTTAGATGTGAATATTTATAATTTTATACAAGATAGGTATAGATAATACTGCTGAGAAAAAATTGCTGCTCACATTTATAAGGTAAGTAATAAGATATGCTTTATAATGCGATTCATACCACAGAAGCCACTTTTATTGAACACTTGAACCAATACAATATGGCATAGAAAAAAAATGCAGAGGAAATATAATATTATACATTCAGTCAACAACAATTCGAATAATAACCCGTAATGTGCCCTCAGTCCATGTTATATATTTTCGCTTATTTTATATACTTTCATACGAAAGTGCAAAAGTACCATTGAAATTAACTTCAAGTCTACAGAAAATACAGAAGTTCAACAATAAAAGTCGAAATACAGTATCTCTCTAATTATAAAGTCGAAATATCGATAAAAATGACATTCTTTTCTTCGAGATTGAAACCACAATGTCAGCCTTCTAGATCACACGGTAGTGATTGCTCATTAATGGTATATAGTTATTAGAAAGTCGAAGTTTTAGCATTCAATTTTGCTGAAAACATTTCATAATGGAAACAAACAACTTTTTTTTCATTGAAAAAAGGTTTTAAGAATACATACTGAAATATTACTGAAAAAAAAACATTTATTTGGTGTACAAGGTATCAACATCAACCTATTTGCAACTAGATGAATTATTTCCAGAAATATATGTGGTCGAAGTTGGGTTCGAACTCGGGGCCTCAGGTTTGAGAGCCGGACACTCAACCACTGCGACAATTAACAGCTGAAAATGAATTTCATTCGCAAAACTGATTTTATGAATATTTCAAAGAAAGGTGAATTACTTTTTTAATAAACAATACAATGAATATTTTGAAGACATAATAATTTCATCATATTCGAAGAAACCACATTAAAACCGGTGCATGAAGAATGAAATAAAAAAATATTATTTTTCATTAGTCTACGCTGTGTGGGTAAAAAGTTTATAATATAAGATAGATTTGACTAGAAATAATCATTTCACTGCGTGTGAGTTCAGTAGCATGACCATGATTTTTTATTCAAATAACTTTCAATACTCTAATAAAAGTTTGTATCTTTCTATAGTACTTCTACACTCTCATGATTTCCACGGTACAAGATCATTCCAGGATAACTCCTGACGGATCTTTTATTGTCAAATGTATAAGAATGTTGATTGTATCTATCATCCTACATGAGAAGACTATTTGGATATTCTTGAATATACATTTGGTATATATGCTTAACAATTTTAATTTATTCTCACTTTGAAATGAGTAAGCAAACAAGTGAATGAATCAAGATGGATTACTTTCATTTTAGACCTGATTATTTTCTAGTTACTTTATGTAGTAATAAAACTTTGGACTATATGTTTCCTTTGTTCTCGTTTCCTCCTTCAACTCTGGAAAATAACTTTCGTTGAAGCAAACAATGGAATACATATATAGAAAAATGAATATTTATAACAAATTGAAAAATATCAATGCCAGTGACATTCTCATTATCCTTTGAATAATTTTACGTATTGAATGAAACTCATTTTTGTAGAGGATATCGGACCTTCTTGGAAAATTTTCCAACTTCCACTATCTGTCATAGAAGAATTTAAACAGGTATAGGACATGGAATTCTCAGATCATCCCGATAAGTTACTTCGTATGGCCAAATGGCTACAAACCACGCTGATAACTTCACTAGAAACACGTTTCGATACATAGTTGGTTTCTCAGTTGAAGTGGTACATTAAACTATACTACGATGTATTTTATATAACAATACTTACAGAACCTAATTCGTGTAACCACTCACCATTAATGAACTTATTTTTATAAAATTCTGAGAATTAATCGTCATTACTGCTTGAAATTCACCTACGTACTTACCTAGAATTAATATTGTATGGTCATTACTTTTTCCTAAAATCTAGCTATATGCCTACTGTTATGTAAAATGCATAAAAGTAAATCAGACTATAGTTCTAAAAATTTTATGGTAGAAGACTTAACAAGCAAACTGAGCACTAATAGCTTCAACATCATAAAACGACAAATGCAGAAGAGAAAAAAATTGTGGCGATCCAACCAATAGCCGAATCTCCACCTTTCGACCACTACCCGCACACTGCGATCTCCACGACGATGAACCACCAACATCCGACTACATCTGAACCCGTCAACAATTTCGACGAAGTCGCTTTTGTGGAGCAGTTTGTTTACTTACCTTCCTACATTAAGACGAAAGACGGGAGAGTGGATAAAAATGTCAAGAATGATCAAGACGTTATAATCAACACTGGCATCCCATTTGATCTGTCGTGGATTTATAAAATGTTGCATTACATGCGGAGTGTTGAGATCGAGGGTAGACAACAAGAAGCGGAAGAGTTTCTAGATTTTCTTCTGAACGGACATAATGATGAAATATTAGAACTGAAAGAGTTGGTTAAATATTACACTGAAGATGAAAAACCTCTCAATGACTCTGCTTTGAGGAATGATTCAAATAATGAATGGAACGTAATGGAATCTAAAAATAAAGGACTTCAACCAGAGGGTTCAACTCCACCAGTACACCTTCGGAGGGCATCTAAAGTCGAGCATTTATCGTATCAAGAACCACATTACTCAGAACATCCAGCCTTTCCTCACCTTGCCACTCAACATTGAGAAAGTGAAGACTGTTAGAGAAGAGCTCAAGGTACTCGTCTCCAAGAACATTTTAGAGGGACTGACTTCGTCAAACACTAACTAGAAGGTTGAAGTTTGGGAACAAATTATGCTGTGCAAACTTCCCGTTATCCTCATATTGCATCTGAAGTTTTTCGAATACAGCCACGACGGTTGCACGAGGATTATCAGGGCTTTGGAGTTGGATTCGACTTGAAAATTGGTATAGTCGGAAACAAAGTCTCCAACAGAGAAACAGTACAAGCTATTCGCCGCCGTTTACCACGGAGTCCAACATTGGACACTACGTGACCGATGCCTTCCACGTCGGCTACAACTGCTGCAGGAAATTTACGTGCTGAAGCCCTAGGGAACGCGAGTTCCTTACTTGCTGTACTATAGATGAAGTGATACGATTCGATCTAAATAATGCTCCCCTAGAGGTTTAGGCGAGTTCAGTGTCTGGAATCGTATGGAGTTTCTCTTTTGAGTTTTCATCGAATTTGAGTTTTTGTTGGTTTTAATGCATTTTTTATTCTTTCATTTTTTGTCTTGGTAATTTTTTGATTTTGCTGTTATTGAAATGTATTGTAGAATGACTGAGGAAGCTACTGTGCAGCGAAATGCTCCTCTAGTGGAGCTATTAGTGCAAAAATTGTTGTATTATCTGGGATAACTTTTTATTTATTCCACAATTCTTATCACAACTTCCATATATACTTTCCAACAACGAGATATACACAAATATTCATATCTGACATAATTACATTTTTTCGTAAAAATAATTTTTTCAGGGCAACTTTTCAACGATAACGTTCAACCAAAATAGGACAACACCGACAAAAACAATGAGAATTTTTAGAAGAACCTAATAAGAAACTTGAGAAAGGTATTTATAATAGCTGGCTTCGATTTGACGATCGAACGAACCAGCCAATGCATTACATTGGCCGGGCTTTCAATCCATTGAAAACAATGCAATATATCTTGTCTCGAGTTTCAAAAGAAACACTATCAGATCATTTAGTGAGACTTCCAGGCAGTTAAAATACTTATCTTTTTTTTTCTTATTAGTCAGTGGGCTATGCTTGAAGACTGGCAGTAAACAATTCTAAAGAAATGAACTTCAAACGTTCAAGCCAGTCTCGAATATACCTACACAGTAGACTAAATGAACTGACGCCTATCAGAAAACAACTACTCCCCTGGCTCATATCACGAAGAGCGTTGGATTGTATCCGACAGGCGTCAGTGCAGGAATCTTCACAGAACATGTCCAGCATATGGTATTGGCAATACAACTGAAATAGTCGACCTTCAATTTTGGAACGGGCACACTTGCAGACCAGTTTCAATTATGGAATATCATTGACTTTAGGTCGATGATGGTCACTATCTTGCCCTGATGAGTGGCCAATGAGCCCGAAACCGGTCTGCAAGTGTGCACGTTCCAAAATTGAAGGTCGACTGTTTCAGTTGTATTGCCAATTGCATATGCAGGACATTTTCTGTGAAGATTCCTGCACTGACGCCTGTCGGATATAATCCAACGCCCTTCGTGGTATTAGCCAGGGAAGTAGTTGTTTTTTGATAGGCGTCAGCCCATTTAACCTACTGTGTAGGTATATTATTTATCTTTTTTATGACAAAATTTGATAAGATACTGATAGTGACTGGAAAAAGTATATTGAGTTTCGAACTTGCTCTATCTGCATCTATATAAAGTTCTTCTCTGGAGTTTTTTTTCAGGTTATGGAAGGTGGAAATTCCCCAAATAACCAATAAAAAGCTAGAGTTATCTAAAAATGAACTTGTGTTTCGTGGAAATTTCCGGTGTCTTACATTTCACATCTTGATGTGACATCAATCAAAAGAAATGCCCACATCAATGAACGATTTCTTAAATGAAATGTAAAACGACCTCAGTACATTTCTTTCGCTCCCTCAAATTCAACTACGTTCAACAGTTCCAAAAACAATGTCATAAATAATTACCAATAAAGAAACAAAAATGGTTATTTCCCTCCCAGTCCAAATTTCATGAAAATTAGTTCTTTGCCTTTCGAGAGAATATCTCCGCCAGGCGCTGTCATTTCATTCAACTTTTGCATCAAATTCGGCGCACCAGCGTTGTTCATTTGTTGCTGTTGGTTGTTGGGCATTTGTCCACTCCCTACCATCACGTTTGGTATCACTTGTGGTACACCTTTGTGTTGTATCCTATTCTGACTCTGCTGAAATGCCTGGTTTTGACTGGAAAAACCTTGTTGCTGCTGCTGTTGCTGTGTTTGTTGAGTCTGTTGCTGGCCAGTTAGACTACTGAAGAGTCCTCCACTTGTTGAAGTCGTTTGAGGTTGTTGTGTTATTTGTTGGCCGAATTGTGACTGTTGTTGCTGTTGTTGAGAATTCTGTTGCTGATTACCAACGGCCCTCAGCATGCCTCTCACCCTCCCCTGAAATTATATAAGTTATACGAAATTCTGCAGAAAGTATTACCGAACCTCCTCGTAAGCCGCAGTTGTTAGATGATGAATGAATTGGAAATAAATAATTTTGGTTATGCAAAACAACACACTAAAATGGAGAAAACATCACCTTCCGAGTGTCGAAAACATCTTACTCATATCAAGTAAATTAGTAGAGATGAAAAAATAATCCATAGTTGTTCTAAGAGAGAACAAAAAATGAAAAAAAAAATTATCGCAGTGCATTCTTCGTTCAGTGAATCAAGAATCAACCATGTTTATTTTTGCTATAGCGATTACTTTTTATTAGTACCACTAGCTTTCTTTCCTTTTTCAATGAAGAGTCGCGTGATGTATTCACTAAATTTGATCATTTCAGTTTGTAGATAATTGTTTTGAAATCCAATTATTGAACAATAAGAGAAGTGTAAGTTGAAAACAAAAAATGGGACGAAATACACAAAATGAGTATGAAAATCAAGATATACTCATTAAAACGCTAATCTGTGAAGAAAACAAATGATTCTGACCTAATATGCCGACCAATTCGTAACTGGGTTGAATAATAAATAAAATGTTGATGATATAAAAAAAGAGAAATGATGGAAAAGGCAAAATAAAATCCAAAAATTCTTCAAGAAATATTGTTAACCAAATCCAAACAAAAATCTGGAAATAGTTGCCACAATTGTCTGCTCAAATTCTATGAGAAAAAAATTGGAACAACTAATGGAAATGATTTTCAAATGACTTTTATAAGAGACAAATATTTCTCTGCGTCACCTGGAGTGTGGTATTTCTTGCCTGATATCTTTAAACTCGTGGGAACTGAATGGAAAACACTCTACGAGTCACTCCTCTGACTCTCATGAGGTTAGTACACTCCAACCTAAAACACAGTAAGAGAGCTTCGGCAATTCTTATAGAAATTACAGGAAAGTTCGATGTTGCTCAAATACAAAAACTTTGGGTCTACAGGGGGCATATAAGGTGATTGGAAACGGCTTAGGTTCAGTTAGAATATTCTCATTTAGTTTTCGGCTTTACTAGCAGAAAGGTACGACGTTAATAATCTCTAAAATAGTCAATTCTCGTCCATTGGAAGAAAAACTTGAAGCGATTTTTATTTATTTATTTTTATCAGGAGAAAACAACTATGTCTGACAACAACCCTCGAACACTGTGGGGTGTCGTATCAGAACTTTCAAACAAAAGTAAAAAATTATGTGAAAATATCGTTATCAAAAAAGGAGATCAAACCATTGAAAATCCTTCACTCATTGTTACTGAACTCAACAACTTTTTTATTGAAGCGCCTCAAGTCTTGGTACAAAATATTAACGTAGAAGATTATAGTACAAACTGCCCTAGCAACATCGGCTTTGACCCTAATCCACACACAATGTTTCTGAAGCCATACAGTGAAATGGAATTGCTTGAGTTGATTATTAAAAAAATGAAAACAAAAAAACATCGGGTATACATGAAATACCTGTTTTTATTATAAAAAAAATATTGCACGTCATTATTGAACCAATTACATATATAGTGAACCTCGCTTTCCTAACTGGTACTTTTCCAACGGTTCTGAAAGTTGGAAAAGTAATTCCTATTCAAAAAAACAAAAAACTATCATCC